ATTGAATGTATGCGGACAAAATATTGTTGGCCACGTGAGACATAGCGTTGTTATAGAGCGACTGTTGAAATTAAGTGTATCGTAAAGTTATATTCAGAAAGAATAAACCAGTTTTATTTAAGAAAAGAACTTGTGTCGCTAAAGTTTCGTCGGAACGAATTTACGGAAAATTAACTAACGAACGGAGACGTAACAATATGATTCTTAATACACCAAGCTCTACGTTAATATTGTTACGTCTCTGGTCGTTTGTTAATTTCCCGTATAATTTCTTTCAGGTGAAACTTTATCGACACAAGTCCTTTCTTAAATAAAACTAGTTGATTCTTTCTCAATACAATTTTGCAATACACTTAATTTCCACGGTCACGCTATAAGTTAAACAAACGCTATAATTCACAACGAACGACCAATTGTCCGTCTCTATCTCTGTCTGCAATTCAACTACCTTCTTGCCATCACTTCTTGGCCGTCTTATATATACAAGAGTATCGCAAATCTAGAAAACACTCGAGGATTCACGAACTTTCGAGAATATGACGTGTTACTAGCGTCACGTGACCCCCGCTGTCGTAACAGTATGATATATTATTACAGAATATACGTCTGAGTATTACTATTCTAATATTAAGGAAATATTGTTGACGCTACGTTAGAGGATATAGTATTATTATAGGTCGTACAGCGACAACTATACTGAATTGATATAATAAGTCATATATATATATATATATAAGAAGAAGTTTGTTTATTTTGTTTGCTATAGGAAACCAAACGGTTAAGCTTACAAATTTTTAAATAACTTCATAATAACCAGGTTTTTACAAGAAATTTAATAGCGCTATTTATTTTGTATTTGGTGTAGTATTTAATGACGAAATTAACAAATAATGATTATTGCGCCATTCTTTTTGTAAGAAACATACAAACATAAGCACGTTTTGCACATAGAAAGCGTTATGGTGGGAGACACTCAGATCATCTTGCTGTCAATTCAATATTTCCAAAAACAGTTTTGTTTAAATAGTGCTAAGTGGTTTCATAAGTGATTTAGTAATTTTGTGAATTGCAAATTATTGTTTAGTGATACAGGTGATTATGCCACCCAAGAAACACTCTTTCTATGGAAAGTATTCTGCCGCTAAAAGAATTTAAGCACAAAGAGCAGCTGAAACAGAAGAAGAACGCAATCAAAAACTTCAAGCACAAGCTGCAAGACAGGCGTGCCCGGTATGGCCAGGTGGATAAGGCGCTCGCCTCACAATCTGAGGGTCGCGGGTTCGAATCCCCGTCACACCAAACATGCTCGCCCTTTCAGCCGTGGGG